GTCTCCACTGACTTACACTATAAAAACAAACAATTTTAGAAAACAACTTTATTAACAGAGATGAGCATTTTCTCCCGGAGTCTCCAAAAATCATGTATGAACCCAGTGATCCATTCCCACCTCTAAGAATGGATTGTGACAGGCCCCTTATATGGGCTGCTCGTGGAAATTTAAGAGTAGGCCCATATATTTCGAGGACTATGCCTAACCTTAGATCACCACTCCACCACATAGTCGCACCCAATGCACCCGCCGCCACGCCTCCCTTTGATGCGCCTTAGCTTCTCCTCCCCTTCAAGGATATGGGACCTTCAAAGAAATTCAAGTTGAATTTTGAATCCAAATAAATTGATTCGATTCAATCCCCAAAAATCCTAGCTTAGTTCTGGAACCAAATGGGATAAAGACTTTGGGTAACACCATGCAACGAATTTGATATTTCCATGCAATTTTGCTCCACCATATATCCATCTATGGATTTATAGTAGGCTTGCATTGTCTATGTTGAAGATAGTAATTTTTTGCCCTCTTGAAAAGTAATAGTAATAGTAATTTTTTGCCCTCTTGAAAATGTTTCGTATGAACACGTTGGAAATTTTCACACTGCCCATTTGATATTGTGGCCTGTGCAAATTCAGATGTTGAAAATTTGCGCTCTGTCCACTTGATGTTGCGGTTCTATGCAAATTCACATTTTATTTCGAATTAAAATCATGTGTCACCAGTCGATTTACGTATCTGAATTTTGGTGCTGATGCCTGATCTCTCTAATATTACTTCTGTTTCATTGCTGTCGCCTCGAAAGGCTCAGGCAGCCTTAACGTTGGAACGCAGCAATGCATCGTCCAAGCCAGGTCTTCTGATCTCACCATGCGCCCGGCGCCACCGCCAACCGACGCCGTGGTGGCCGCGTCGTCGTTCACGTGATGTCGCCGCCCATGGACCTGGACCACTTCGCGGTGCTTGACAGCCGCCGTTACCGAGCCGCCGGAGTCCCTGCTCGCGCTGCTGCGCGACGCGATCGCGGGGGCAGGGCAGATCGAGAAAGAGCTGTTCCTGCGAGAACGCGCCGGTCGGTGACGGGACGTCGCACGCCGTGGTTGGGTGGCGGAGGTCGGTCGTGCAGGAGGCGTTCTGGGTCGTCCACGAGGAGGTGGTCGTCGGCCAGTGTGAACCCAGCGATCACGTGTCCGTCTCCGTGACGATGACCCTCGTGGCGCTGGTCGTGGAGAAGTACGTCGTCGTCGGGAGCTGCGGCGCTGGCTCCAAGGTCACGATATCCCGCGACCGCGACCCTGATCGTGGTCGTCCTGGAGGTCATCTGCGAGCAGCGAGCACATATGGTGAAGCTAGCTTTTACCCTGTGCTCACCGCTCAGCAGTGAGATAGATCCACACGGGATAAATAACGCTGTCTTGGAGTTGGAGCCTTGGAGGCGCCGTAGTTGCCGATGGCGAGGTACTTGTCCAGTACCAGCGCGACGAAGGCCGTCGCGGCGGCGGGCGCGTCCTCGCGGGGTTCGCACTGGCTGCTGGCCACCACCTCGTGGACTACACGGAACGCGTCCCGCATCACCGTCTTCCACCACCCTACCACGTCGTGCTGCGACTTTCCGTCGCCGAAACCGGAGGTGACCGCGCCGCGCAGCCGCAGCGCGAGCAGGCGCTTTGGCTCGGCGGTCGGCACCGGTGGCCACGCCGAGGCCACGAAGTAGTCTAGGCCCATGGACGGTGACAACGCCGCCACGAACGACCACGCGGCCGCCACGACGTCTGTCAACGGCAACGCCTAGCGCTGGCTCTTGAGGGATACCATGTCGGCCGACAGGTAGAGCTCAGAGGGCGTGCCCCACGCCACCGCCGCCTCTGGGATATCGCGCTCGCTGGACATGGATCCAGCGTGGTTTCTGTGCGCCTAAAGAGATCGAAACCTGACTTGGATGCGGCGTTTCGAATGCTGCCCAACTGCCCTGCAAAGGGAGGCAGGGACGAGCACCGGCCAATCTCACACCGACGACATGGCGAAACAACTCCGCATGCACGCCGCTTGTCACGTACACACCCTACGTATAGTATATATGGACCCCATCACCCACACACGACAAGCAGCTAGGCAGCTCCTCAGCTAGCACGCCCGGTCGTCGTCGAAGCTACATATATACACGACGTACGTACTGCGCGTCTGCGCCCCCCGGCCGTCCCCGGTGTGCGTCGTCCGTCTCCGGTCCTCCGGCAAGCCGAGACGATGAGCTCCAGGTCACCATCGTCAGCGCTTGCGGTGCTGCTCGTGGCGGCGGCGCTGGCGGGGGCGGCGTCCGCGGCGACGCTGCAGTGCGTGCAGGTGGCGCAGCTGATGGCGCCGTGCATGCCGTACCTGACGGGCGCGCCCGGGATGACGCCCTACGGCATCTGCTGCAACAGCCTGGGCGTGCTCAACCAGCTCGCCGCCACGCGCTCCGACCGCGTCGCCGCCTGCATCTGCGTCAAGGCCGCCGCCGCCGGGTTCCCGGTCGTCGACTTCGCGCGCGCTGCGGGGCTCCCCGCCGCCTGCGGCCTCTCCATCAGCTTCACCATCTCCCCCAACATGGACTGCAACCAGTACGTACTCTAGGCCATCATCACCTTTGTTTCCTTGTCGGCTTCATTTCGCCATGCATTTGACATCGTCGTTGCGCGTTCGCCTGGCAGAGTTACAGAGGAACCATGACACCAACCGGGCACATCACATAGAATACAAGCTGAAGAACCAAGCTGTTCAAGTCGATCGAGTCGCATCATCTTCCAATCCAACAAAATAAAATGAAGAAACGCTACACCCATCTAGATCTTGCATCTCTTGCTCTTTTATTCCTTCAGGTCTTTTTTCTTCAACCAAAAGTTCTATTCATTCAGTTTGATGATTTGATCTGCTATCTGGATTTTGTGAACGAGTTTTCGTTCCTGTGGTTTTGAACTGTATGATCGTGTGTGCTTTTCAATTCGCCGCAACTGCAGTAAATAAAGTTCAAACGTATATTTTACTGAAAAACTCCAAATCCATGAGAACAGTCTTGTTCCAAGCTCCTACCAAGTTTAATTTCACACCAACCAAATGCACGAACGACATACAAACAAGACCTGGATAAACACTACCGACAGCGAAACGAGCAGCGAACAACCGGATCACTTCAACACCTGTTGCCAGATCCAGTAGGTGGTAAAACCCCTCCTGTTTCATAAAAAAAAAACACTTATTGCCAGCCTCTGCGCGCCCTGCTGTTAGCAGCAAAGGGGAAGGAAAACGCAGCAGGGGTGGGCCTAGGCCTAGGGCCACTCGTGACCCAACTAATCCAATAATGTCTATATAATTTTTTAGCCCAACAAATGCTTCATTGGAGTCTCCTTCCGCTCGTGAGTATGAGTCACCCCTCTTGCCTTATCTCTCGCACAGTCGTAGGGTCACGTTGCGCCGCCGCTACTCGTAGCCGCCACACAAGCGTGCCAGCCTGACCACGTGCAAATGATCCTAACTAGCTTATACTTTGCATTAGCTCTATCTCACTCAAGCAAGCCTCATACTCAATTCTAGTTGCTAGGTCTTTAGATTGAATCACACAAACACACAAGCTAGCAACTACATAACTACATAAGAAAGCTAACTATAGAGCTAATTACAACTAGTTACAACTATAAGCTACCCGAGTGATACACTAAACAAGAGAGCTATAACTACTCAAACTACACAAGCAAGCAAACACTACACAAGTAAACTAATGAATGAAGTGTAGTGTTCTATATCGAACCAGGCAAGATAGATGACACAAGATATACCCTGAGGTTTGGTTGCTTGCCAGCAACCTACGTCCTCGTTGTGGCGAATCCCAACTTGGTGATTTGCGAGTTAATTGGCTTCACACGTCAAGCCCACCACACGAGTGCCACAAAAATCGCCCAAGAAGTGCACTCCAATTAGCCATGATTCCACTAAAGTTGTTCTTTGCGAATCTCGAGTGGGGAATGAGCACAAGAACCCCTCACAACCAATTGATCGGAGCCGACAACAATCACCAATGCCGTTCAACAATCCTCCGCTGTCTCCAAGCCATATAAGTGGTGGCAACCACCAAAGATAACACAAATCTGAAAGCCCAAGTTTGGTTTTAGTTAATTGATGAAACTTATTTGGACTAATCCTTGCATCTAAGTGTGTGACTAGATAGGATGATCCAATCCAAGTAAAGGGGCTAGGTGGCACTCATGGATGGAGATGGCCACATGAAATAAAGATCATGGTGATGGTGTGAACACATGTGATGATCAAGCTCCGGGACCTGGAAAAAAAGAAAGAGGAAAAACAAAATAGGCTCAAGGCAAATGTGATATCTATAAGGCTATTTTGTCTGTGCATGTCCAAACCCTTTTGACTTTTGAGTTGAAGCAACGGCAGGGAGAAGGCGTAAAAAGCATGCCACGCAGTGACCGGTGACTCAAGGGTGTAATGTAATGCATGCTGCTGCATTTGGAAAGCGAGTCACGGCTGGAGCATCATGGACATCGATCACATCGCCAGCCAATTCGTCACTTGATCACAGGCATCAGTCAATTTCATATCAGGAAGCTGATTGTCAAGCCGACTGACAAGTGACAACCAAAGGTCCAAAGCACGCACCAGCCATGTTGTCACGATGCCACGATGCAGTAGGTTGTGTGATCCTTCTGGCCTTTTGGCGGAATTGGCAAAACTAGATCATGTTTGATGTACACGGCAACCACCACAAAGCCAGTGTTGATGAAAGCTGACACGACCCATATCATTTCAGGAAACAAAGCATTTGCATTCTTTTCAGCACATCAGTGACAACCCATTCGTGCAGAATTGTGCTCGTATAAGTAACCACATTTAACCTTTAAGCAAACAAGCATAAATCACAGCAGCCAAGGCAGCATTAACACATTCGTCTACGGTGGGTCAGCATCTATCGGGAGCCAGAAAACTTTTGGAACCAAGGGCGGAGGGTACAATCAGAAGAGCACCTGGGAGATCCTGACGGACACGATCTGTCCGTCCCTGCCCGTGTCCCGCATCGCCTCGAACGTCGATAGCAGGCCTGTCACCCAAGAGCACGACACACATCACGTCAGAATTCAGAACTGGCACTGTGCTGGGACCAGGAATGGTTACTGGCTGCTGCAGCTCATTGCTCATGTGCCACTATGAGCGTACATACCTCCGTTGCTCTGGAGGTTGGTGTGGATGGCAGCGGCGGTTGCGGAAGCACAGTGCCTGGTCATGGGGTCGTCTCGCTTCCCGGCCCAGGCCCTGTTGAGAACAGCTGGAGAACAAGGCAACACCAACGCCAACCATGTCATTCACGATTCACCAATACAGAGTACAGACAGATGACTGAGCAGAGATAGCACTGGAATGATCAGATGGTTGCCGGACATACGTACTTGCAGTGGATGGAGAAGCGAACTGCTTCGCGTTGACGACGGCACAGAAGGCGGCGGCGACCTCCTCGTCCTGGAAGTACTCGCCGAGGCTCTCGTACTCCAAGGTCTCGTCCCAGTACGCCTTCTCCAGGAACAGCTCAGAGTGGCGTGCGTCCAGGATCTGCTTGTTCCCTATGAACCACCAATTCCACCCCCACCAAAATTCAGTAACAACGAACAGGTATATACAATATACTGGCAGGGCAGGAGCATCCATCCACAGGCTCACCTCGGCAGCTGTTGCGGTTGCACAAGGGGCATCGCATCACATGCATGTCTGCAGCATTCAACAGGAGCAGAGAACAATGGTGAGGGATAATCAGACAATTCAAGACAACAGAGCTGAAGACGGTCAGACGGCAAACGCTCAGAGATGGCCACAGAATGTGGCCACGTACCGGTGATCCAGATCCCGGGGCGGACGTTGAGGAGTTTGCAGGCGCCCAGTATCGTGATGGTGAGCCGCACGTCTTCGGGATCCGACGGCAGCCACTTCGGCAGAGGCAGCCTCCCGATCAGCACCATGTCCGGCGAGTCCATCACGAATGACCCGATCCGCCACGAACCTGCATCTCATCGGCGTCAAATACACATACACTGACGATGTATCACAGCGCAATTGCGCAAGGCAATGGCGAAATTGACAAGTAAATCCTGCAATCTCGCTGCGCTTACTTCGGTGCTCGCCGTTCTGGCAGAACGAGAAGGCGTGGGAACCATCTGTGAGGAGTGGGGTGGAGCACACGTGTCAGTAAGCGGGACCTGCTGTCAGTGAGAGAACCGAAGCGGGTTACGGGTGGGGGGCCATTTGGTGCTCTGCTTACCGAAGGCGGCGAAGTAGAGGTAGCGCCAGGAGCGGAAGAGCGGGCGATGAACGCGCGGGTTGGCGTCGGAGAGGTTGAGGTCGCGGAAGAAGGCGTAGCGCCAGATGGAGTCGTCGGCGAGGAGGCGGCGGAACCAGCGGCAGGTCGAGGAGAGGCGGAGCAGGTCGAACCCGCAGAGGTGCTTGGCCACCTCCGTCCAGAGGTCCGGCTCGTACCTGCATCGAGAAATACTTGCTCAGGATTTCAACCAATTCAGTGACGAAACTGGACTGAGATTTTGCAATGCTGGTGTGAGCAGTTAATGCTGTGGGATCAAATTAGCAGCAGGAGCTGACAATTTACTGGCAGAACCTCAAAAGGTAAGATGATGATAAGCTTTAAATCACAAACCCATACAAGGGGAATAACGAATTCTTACAACTGAACTCAGAGCACAGTTAATCGAACTGAATTTTCTGATTCGAATTGCGTATCATCACTACCAATAGAGATTTCAGGTTTCAATCAACTCTCTAAAGCATGGAAACCACGAACAATTCGAGCTAGACTGCAGCTGTTTCGCAGGCATTTGGTGGATAAGCACTCTGCTCTGACGCTTTTGAATTCAAACAAATCTGAAGTGCTACAACAATTCATCCAATCGAACAGCCAAACTTCCATTTCATGATTCAAACAGAGATGCAGGCTTCAATCGAATTCGAACTCTAACAATGCAAGCCAGATACACAACGAAATGCAACGAAACAAAATTCGAATTATCTCTAAGCTTCAATTTACTGACAGATCCTCAAAACGTAAGATGATAAGCTTTAAATCACAAATCCATACAAGGGGAACAGCGAATTCTTACAATTGAACACAGAGCACAGTTATTCGAACTAAATTTTCTGATTCGAAATGCGTATCATCACTACCGCTAGAGATATCAGGTTTCAACTCTCTAAAGCATGGAAACCACGGGCAATTCGAGCTAAACTGAGCTGTTCGCAGGCATTGGCGGATAAGCACTCTGTTCTGACGCTTTTGAATTCAAACAAATCGGAAGTGCTACAACAATTCATCCAATCGAACAGCCAAACTTATATTTCATGATTCAAACGGAGATGCGGGCTTCGATCGAATTCGAACTCTAACAATGCAAGCCAGATAAACAACGAAATGCAGTGAACGAAATTCGAATCATATCTAAGCTTCAATCTACTTACGCAAACGGGACATGCTAATCTCTTAATCGCGATCGCTTTCAAAACCAAGCATGATTCACAGCAGAAGGTTTAAAATCCCACGAAACGCAAATGCAATCACGAATTCGGAAACGTTGAAATTCAAATTGGAGAAAATCAAATCAGTACGAGCCAATTCCCTCCGCTAAGCACACAGCCAGTGAGCCACACACATCATAACCAGAGGATCGAACTGAGCACTCAGAAGTCAGAACTGAAATCAATTCCGATCGCAGTAGCAGGAAAGCTAAACCCAATTCAGCACCGAACATACACAGCGTACCAGTTGAATGGATGGCGCGGGCGGAAGAGGACGCGCGTCGACGTGCGCAGCGGCGGCTGCCGGCCGCACGTCGCCGGATGGAGCCCCGCGACGGGGCATCCGATGCCCACTGCGGCGAGCCTGGTCCCCTTCCTCGGCGGCTGCCGCTTCGGAGCTCCCGCGGCCTCGACCAGCTTCTGCGCTGCTGCCTCCTTCCGCGCCCGCTTCCTCGGCGGCAGGGGAGGCGGGGACGAGACGAAGTCCGGGTCGACGCGCCGCGGCCTCGGGCGCTTCCTCAGCTCCATCATCTCCGCCTCGTCCTCTGGAGGTGGTTGCGGTGGCCGGAGGAGGGAGATGGCTTTGCCCATGCAGCGGTGGGAGGGGGAAGGCGCAGCGCCCTGCGTGCTGGCGAGGAGTGCCTGCATATATAAGCTCCGGGGAACGACAGGATTTCAAATTTTGAAATGGTTGAGAAGCCTTGCGGCAGGGGAAGGGAAGGGTAGCGTGATTACACTGACTTGTGGGTCCACCAAGACACTCAGCAGTGGAACGCCCATGTTTTCCTTCATACTAGTACTGAACATGTTATGTTTATATAGTGGAGTATTAATTATGCAAAGGAAGAATACACGATTGGTATTTTGCTTTCTGATTGAAAAGCATGATGAAGTCTTTTTTTTAAAAAAAAAAAGTAAAGCATGATGAGGTCTTAGTAAAAGGAATTTGCATGTTTTCTTTTGACATGAGATTTACCTGTAGGTTACAAATCTCAAGGATTTTTTTTCAGTATGTAACGAGTAATAAGTAGAAGCAGAAGTTAACAAAGGCCATAATTCTGATTTACAGTTGCAGTGAAAATTTTGCATATAAGTGCATCATGGCATACATTTATACAAAAATACATGCCGTTTTGTAGCTCAGACTGTACCCTAGATGTAGAAAACAGAGGATACAGGAGCATAGTCAGTAATTCTAAAAAAAAAAGGAGCATAGTCAGTTAATTTGTTCAAAAAATTTGTGTTACTAACAGGCCAATCAATTGAAAAGAAAAACAGGAGAGAGAGATGCAAACAAGCAGCATAATGTTTGGTAAGATCAAGATTTAGATTGTCACAGTACCACATTCTGGCAAGTCTGCATTCGGTATATTAGCTGGAATTTAGTAAAATCCAAACTATAGTACAATGAAGAAGTAAAATTCTGGCCTATAAACTTCCAAAAAAAAAATCAAACTTCAAAAAAAATTCTGGCCTATGTCATTGAATGATTCCACATCGAATGGTCTAGGAAAAAGGAGCAAATGGACCGCAGTCAGAACTAAAGCATTGCTAATACATAGTGAGAAGTTGATTCAAGCTACAGATTGGCAATGGGATTTTTCTAGGTCTCACGATGGCAAAGAGCATAAAATGGTCATCGATATGAAACAAAATTACATGCCAGAGCAGAGAAAGTGGCGGTTTCACCGTTTCAAAAAAGAAAGTGGCAGTTTCAGTTCTAGCTAGCCATATAAACATGTAATTGTTTTTATAAAAGAGATGGTATGATAAATCAAGTAATCATGAGCTCTAGGATTTATAAACCCTTTAAAGTTTGGAACAGACAGTGAACAGCCTATAATGCACTTTGCAGGAACAACATATCAGTGTATCACACACCTCACAATGTGGAAGGTAGCTAAAACAACGTTCGGTTTCCAAATCATGTTTAGTCATTTAATTTCTAGGACTAAAACTAAAAGCATGCTATTTCTGCAATTGGCACATTGTCACATAACAGTACCAAACCAGACCTTTTTGTTGTTTCTTGAACATGCTAAGTATATAAAATGACTAAAAGTGAATAGCAGAAGTCATGCATAACACACACAATTCTGAGTACCAACTGAAAAGTGGATTCATGGAAAACAGTAGAGGCCATAGTGATTTTCTATCATCCTGACAATAGATATGTCAGTTTTAAAAATTGGTAGGTTGTGGGACTTATATACGGCATTCATAAGGGTAACATTCAACACATGATCCATATGCTCTTTTAGCACAGTCAGTTTAGGGAAGGCCTACTTGCAAGCGACATAGAAACTACATATATGGAAATTAGGAAATATGGTTCAATGACTTAAGTCACTACTCACTAGCTAAACTACAGATGGTTCTACGACTTGTAAGTCACTAGCATTATTCTTAGGCGGAAGCCTTACCAAAATAGGGGTGCGGATCTCACATATGATCGCAATCTGTGTTAGCAGCTTGTCAGGAATCTGCACAAATTAAACCAGATGCAGAGAGCATGGTTATGTGGGATTTCGATACATGCCTATTCAATGTAGTGGCTAGAGAATAAGGCTGTTAGAGAAGAAAACAAAATAAGAACAGTTCTAGTATTATGAAGCCAAAAGAGCAAGGATTAGAGCACAGCAACAAATCCGACATAAATAGCTGTTGCATACAGACGAATTAATCAAACATCATCCTTATATATTTCTGTGGCCCCATAACAAAGGCTGTGTTGCTAAGTATTGCCAAATGAATGTTAAAATTAGCACATGACAATAAAAGACTGCGCCAGAGAGTAAAATGTAACCAGTGCCGTACCCAGGATAGCAGGAATTTAAAGTCATTACCAGAACGTAACCAATATTATGTGAAGGCATTCTTGCCGTGACTAAAATATTTTATATAGTCTACAATAAGTCACGATTTAAGGTTAGCAGCTTAGCACAAAGTCCTAAGTCGTGGAGATATGATCCCTTCACCATTTTTGGACTTAGCAACCGAAGTTAACACAAAGTCCTAAGCTCCTACTTCCTAGTGATATAATTTCTTTACCAATGCGGAGTTAGAAATTGCCCATTTGTTCTTTGGACGACAAGAGCTACAGTATCATTAGTTATCAAACACTTGCACAAGTCAATGCATCAAACTCAGTTTGCTACTAGGCCGCAATGTCAAATCACAAAATTCGTACTGAACAATACAAGATGGGCAGCTGCAGTTATTTTTTGAACAGCACGACGTACAGGTGATGCAAATAGGATAATCTACAAGGCTAATTCTGCACCTGCACGAGAAGCCAGCAGCTATGCTACAACTCTCTAGGAACCATACGGGCGATGAATTGCGTGATGCTACCAAGATCACCAGCGCAAGTCTGACCACCAAGCATTCCGCGAAGGCGTGGATGCTCTGAACCAGGAAAACGACGAAGCCCAAATCAGACTGATTGAAAACAGAGTAGAAGACTCACGAGATAGTTCGAGCATTCCCCGGATTTCAGAGGGGATCTGTCTGACCTGGAGAGAGGAGAGGGAGAAGAGGTCTCGCCTTCGCCTCCTCGGTGACCCTAGGATGGAGGCCTCCGCCTGCTCCCCCCGTCGCCGCCGCCGATGAGGGAGCGCTGGAGGCGGGTGAGGGCGTCCATTCCTGGCGTGTTTTTTTTTTTTTTTTTTTTGAGGAATTGGCGTGGTAGTAGTAGAGGGTAGCACAAATGCACAATGTGAGTGTCTAGCGGTGGTCTTGGACTCTTCGGCCCGTCTGGGAAGCCCTCTCGGCCTTCCATCAAATTTAGCCCGGCCCATGACAGGGTTTCCTTAGGCTTGGACTGGTTCGTTAAACAGGCTCGTTTTATAAAACTTCCTAATTAATTTAGTGCAATAGCTTAATCACGGGACTTGCTTCTTCGCAAGATCCTAGTGGAATTCTGAGTGCTTGCCCGTGATAAAAAGCTTGAATGAAAGATTTCTGGAGGCGTATGGACAGATAGTCCAAGAGATCAAAGCTCAGGAAGCTTCGTTCGAAGAGTTACGGTTCGTCCACGAAAGCCAACGTTTTGTCACGCATGCACATAATTTGGCAAAGGTAATGCTATTCGGGATGCCGCTCTCGTACCGCATGCACCGCCAGTCTAATAAAAAAAATCCCCCCACAGAAGCACATCTCCCCCACTCCCCGCTCATGCGTCGCGGCTTCACGGTACCGTGTGGCCGTCCGATCGTCCCAATCCGTTTCGCCGCCGCCCACTCTGGTGCGCCGCTGCCACCATCCCTATGGCTCCCCCCATCCCAGCCCGTGGCACCTTCGTCTCCCACGAAGAGAAGGAATCCTTCGTGTGAGCTACGCTGCCAGCCGCCCCACCGACTGCAACTGGCACTAGACCCGGTTATCGGCGCCTCACCCTCCGCCTCCAAGCTCCATGCGCGTGCTCGGCGAGTGCAGCGGCGCTTCCGTCATCCGCCACGCCACCGTGCTTCATCTTTCGTCGCGCCCAGGCCAGGCGGCTAGAAGAGGGGGCTTCGCTGGTGTGGGGGTACGACCCCGGATACCCACGGCAGACCACATGGGTTGCACCCCCAGGGGCGGCTCAGCCCACAAGACAAAGTCTTACGGGGCACGACTCTGCTTGGCACCTCCCGCAAGACACCGGGAAAATATCCTGAAGATACTACGAGATCTGTTAGAATACGTATGATCCCAAGATTCCTGTAATCTGTTATTACTTTCCGGTTATCTCTCAGATCTAACCGACTTGTAACCCTGCTTCCCGGACTATATAAGGCGGGTAGGGACCCCTCTAAATTCAGGCAATATCATACGATAGCCAATACAATCCAACAGAACACAGGAGTAGGGTATTACGTCATACTGACGGCCTGAACCTGTCTAACTCGTGTGTCTCTGTTGCCTTCTTGTTCTTGATTACACGCCTCTCTACCGATCAATCTACCTTCGTGGGATACCCCTCAGAGGACTGCAGACGATATTCTATCGACAGTTGGCGCGCCAGGTAGGGGTGTGCGTGTTGTTTCCTTGTCGAACAAGATGGCTTTTTCCGCAGGCTCTTCGTCCCTCGCGCAGCCTAGCCAGATCTTTACGGTCGGATCGATCTCGTGGATCATCAATGCTTATGGAGTCGGAGAGCTCATCGTGCCGGTGTAGATCAAATCTACGCCGATCACCCCCGCACCTGCGACTGCAGATCCGATCTCGGAACCACCTCTAAGGTCGCCTTCATCGACGACTCACCGCCCGCTTCCTCGCTACCAGAAGAAGCAGATCAACAATGATGATCTGATCGCATCCATCGATCAAGTTGGTCTGAAGCTCGTCGATTGCCTCTCCATCACTGAATCGGCTCTGGACACTCTCGTTCAGCGCCGACCACCCTCCAATCTAGATCTATCAGAGGCTGCTCGGAAAACTCCAGGGGTTACGGCTCTACCCTTCAGGTTCACCAACGTCGCCGCCACCTACCAAGTTGCCCTAAGGGGCAAATTCACCGACCAGGTTGGAGATGCCCATCCTCCCGACGACCAGCTCACCGACCAGCACCCGCCGGCCATCAACATGCTGCACGTCGGCCGACGTCCTGAAGCATCCCTCCAAACCATCCAGGAGGAGAGTCCGGACTCCGAGTCTTAGGGCTCTACGGAGACCGTCGCCAAAACCACCACTGAACTACTTCTCCCTCCTTTTCGGGGTGGCACGATCTTCAACGTCAGCGTCGACAGCCCCCCTTGGAATGGCGAAACCGAGGAGGAACGCACCACTCGTGAGAACCGGAACGTCAACCGCGCGCAGCGCCGAGCAAACGAAATTGCCCTTGCGAGGGTCGAGAAGCAGCTTGACTCGCAAGGAAGAGCACTCCAACGCAACCTCGACGACGAGTTTGTCCGTGTTGACAACCACCATGTCTACAAGACCCCAAGTGCTAACCTGGCTGTGGCTGCCAACGAGCTCGCTCAGCTCCCGTAGACACCGGAGGTCGCCAAGGTCGCCGCAATGCTTAAAGCGGCACACTGTCAGGTCAATGAGATCCGCCAGGAACAGAGACCTTCATACTCCACAACCTCGATTCGCCGATCAACCGCGACAAGAATCGATCACCGCCAAAGTCGCTTCACTGACCAACACCGTGACAATTGGCAACCCCTCCAGGGTGGAGGTAGGGGCAACCGCAACGAACATCACCGCCAACACGACCAAGAGGTCGATCAGGACGTCCGAGTGCACCTCAACAATCTCCTAGATGCATGACAACGTATCGACGAACGCCAGTTCGGTCGCCATGAAGAAGAAGTACGTCGCCGCCAGGAGTACGAGCAAGAGTACGGAAACCCAAACTCAGCTCTCGAGTCGATCAACACCGACAACGCTGCAGACGACAGAGCCGACAACCCCGAAGGGCCCCCAGCATTCATGACAGCACTCCGAACACTTCAGTGGCCCTATGGTTTTAAAATCACTGGGGTTGAGCCCTACGAGGGAAGGATGAATCCAACATAGTGGCTATAGGCTTACGCCACTGTTGTCCGCGCCGCCGGAGGAGACACCAGTGTCATGGCGAACTATCTTCCCGTCATGCTCGCGCCAACCGTCATGAACTAGTTCACAAGCCTTGCCCCAGACTCCATCGGATCCTAGGAAGAGCTTAAAAAGTCTTCACCGACAATTAGAAGCTTACATCGATGATGTGGTCGTCAAGTCCAAGACCACCGATAATCTTATCGCCGACCTCGAAGAAACCTTCGCCAACTTGAAAAGGTACCGATGGAAGCTGAACTCTTCAAAGTGCATCTTTGGAGTTCCATCCGGTATACTACTGGGCTACATCGTCAGTGCACGTGGCATCAAGCCCAACCCCAACAAGGTCTCCACCATCACCAACATGAAACGACCAACATGCATCAAGGATATACAGAAGCTTACAGGCTGCATGGCTACTTTAAGCCGCTTTATATTGTGCCTCGGCGAAAAGGGACTACCTTTCTTCAAACTCCTCAAGGCCTCCGAGCGCTTTTCCTGGTCGGAGGAGGCAGACACAGCTTTCGAGCAGCTCAAGTTGTTCCTAACAAAGCCTTCGGTCATGATGGCTCCATAGCCAGATGAAACTCTCCTGATCTACATCGCCGCTACTTCTCACGTCATCAGCACTGCCATTGTGGTCGAACGCGAGGAGGCCAGGCACGCTGATAAGGTGCAACATCCGGTATACTTCATTAGTGAGGTTCTTAGCAAGCCCAAGACTCGTTATCCTCAGGAAGATAAGGAAATTCAGGAAGTTCCCCCCACCGAGCAGCTGGTACTTACAGTACCTTTGCCGGTCGCCTATTGGAGGGAATAGTTCATCAAGTGCCTCTCCAGCGCTGAAGTATCCGCCGATAAGATCTTCTGGCGCCATCCATTAGGGAAGATAAGGAAATTCAGGAAGTCCCCCCCCCCCGCAGTCGAGCAGCTGGTACTTACGGTACCTTTGCCGGCCACCAATTGGAGGGAACAGTTCATCAAGTACCTCTCCAGCGCCGAAGTACCCGCTGATAAGACTAAAACCGAACTCCTGATCCATCAAAGCAAGCATTACATGCTGGTGGACGACAACTTGATGAGGAAAAGTGCCAAGGAAGGGATACTGCAGAAATGCATCACCCAAGAAGAGGGAGTGAAGCTACTTCTCGAAATTCACTCTGGGTCCTGCGGCAACCACGCAGCCTTGAGAAACCTGGTCGGCAAAGCTTTCCGAGCTGGTTTTTATTGGCGCACGGGCATCTCCGATGTAGAAGACCTCATTCGATGTTGTGAAGGATGCCAATTTTTTGCCAAGCAAATACACGTGCCGGCACAAGAACTGTAGACCATCCCAGCTTCCTGGCCCTTCGCA